TTTTTTTTTTTTTTTTTTTTTTCTCGTGCGATGGTGGTAGTTAGCCGACGATAAAATTGCTGCTGGTGGATGTATAGGGATTGTAATTTTTGAAGTTGGAAATTTAATTAACATCACTTCTCAAGTAGTATATGTATGTATATATATATATCGCTGCTCGGAAATTTCATTACATTTTTGATTAATTTGAGAGAGATATACGATGATGAAGATTTAATATTTCTTTAATATTTCGTCGGTTTATTATTGAAAACAGCGACTATTTCGTTACTGAGTTAAATTGTTGCACAAACGATGACGTCAGTAACAACCTAAAGTTATTTAATGTTTAAAATTGTTAATTTATCATGATTAATTTGTTATGTGCAATGTTACAATTGTACGTTTAATATTATATTTAAAATATAATTATCTTAATGTACTCTGTTAAAAAAGTTGCTTCAATAGAAAGAAATGCTAATATTGTGCGCGTTAATAGACACCATAATCTTGGAATGACAAAATACATTCGCTTCCTCTACGTCCCTCTCTGTTTCATATACGTTTTTTATACTTCCGTTTATCTGCGTAGATACACGCAGAGTAGAGACTTTTAATATTACACAAATATTAAAAACGCATAATTACTCGCATACTTTTCATTTCTACAGTCTCGTGCATTACACCCTTTTTAATACACTGTGCAAAACTACGACGTCCCGTAAAACTTAACAACAGAAAATGTTTCTTCACAAGGAACAAAAAAGGATTAAAATGGATTAAAATACTATTACGCACAGTTTGTATTAATGTTTTATATTTATATCTAACAAATAAGAATTTGTCTAGAATTTGTGTCTGAACTGAACAATCCATTGTGGCAATCGAAGTTTCGAATTTTTTTTATTTTAAATTTTCAATTTCCGCGAGACATGAAAATTCTCTGGACAGAGTGAAAATAGAAAATAGAAGAACGGGAATGGGAATGGGAAATAGAAGGACGAGTTAGCCTTCACGTCTAGTTTTCATGTAATCACTGATGCTACTGACCGTACTAGCACGGTTTAATTAAACGAAGGGGCCGTGTTCGTTGAACGTGTTACGCAGTCCCTTGATTGACGTTGATTCTGTTGTTGGAACAAGAAAGAAGGAGCCCGAAGTATCTTATTCTTCTTCGTAATTAAAACGTCCGCGTCTATGACGAGACGTCTACTGGTCGTTACTTCTTTAGTATCAATTCAGCAAGGGAGGATTCCAGCTGTTTTAAGCAGCATTTCTCAGTAACATGTTCAGTTCAGAGCTACACATCGTAAGA